ATAAAAGAAACAAGGATAAAAACAATAAAATATCTTGGAATTGGACCAATGAGCAAAATAATGCATATGAAAGATTAAAACAGTGTCTCATGTAACCACCAATTTTAGGCTATCCGGATTTTACCAAACCGTTTGAATTGCATACTGATGCGTCATCACATGGATTAGGGGCCGTTTTATATCAGGATCAGGATAATCAGAAACGGGTAATAGCATATGCAAGCAGGAGTTTAACCAAATCTGAAAAACATTACCCTGCTCATCGATTAGAATTTTTGGCATTGAAATGGTCTATTACAGAAAACTTCAGTGATTATTTAAAACTACACAGATCTCTAGTTCTTACAGACAACAATCCATTAACATATGTACTAACATCTGCTAAATTAGATGCAACAACTCAATGGATTGCTGCTTTATCATCATATGATTTTGAGATAAAATATAGATCTGGAATAAATAATGCGGATGCTGATGCAAAGTTAGAAATCATAAACAACTGCCTTTATAGATCCACCACTGATACTGTATCTGGAGAAACCAGAAAACAGTTGTTAATACCAACAACCTATAGAAAATTTATACTTCAGAAGATACACAATGAAATGGGTCATCAAGGAAGAGACCGTACCATATCATTACTCCGTGATCGCTTTTACTGGCATGGTATGCCAAAAGATGTAGAAAGCTGGATATCAAATTGTGACAGATGTCTTAGAAGGAAAACATCAACAAAACAGAGAGCTCTTATGGTAAGTATAGAGACATCTCAGCCACTTGAGCTAGTATGTATGGATTTTCTAGGACTTGAAACATCAAAAGGAGGCCAACAGTACATTCTAGTGATAACCGATTATTTCACTAAATATGCAATAGCAGTACCAACTAAGAACACCACTGCACGTACCACTGCTGAGGCCTTCATGAACAAATTTGTAGTCCATTATGGATTTCCCAAAACAATCCACAGTGATCAAGGTGCCAACTTTGAAGGTAAATTAATTAACTGTGTGAATTATCTGGTATGCAGAAATCTAGAACAACTCCATATCACCCGCAAGGAAATGGTGTTTGCGAAAGATTCAATAGAACTTTACTAAATATGCTAGGGACACTCAATCCAAATCAAAAGCATGATTGGAAATCACATGTTGCAACTATGGTGCATGCATACAATTGCACAAGACATGATACAACAGGAATGTCACCATATTATCTCTTATTTGGTAGAGAACCACAAATACCGGTAGACATTATATTTGATTTGGACAAATCAGAGAAAATTCTGAACACCAAATATATAAAAGCTTTAAAAGAAAGAATGGAATCAGCATACAAACTTGCAATAGCATCATCAAGGAAACAACAAACACAACAAAAACTACATTATGGTTTAAAATCAAGAAATGCTATTTTGGATATTGGAGATAAAGTACGTACTAGTTAAAATTGTTGCTTGGGATGGGAAACATAAATTATCTGATAAATGGGAGGAAGATGCATACATAATTATAGGACAACCAAATTCAGGAATTCCAGTTTTCGAAATTAAGAAAGAAAATGGTACTGGTCGGAAACGAACATTACATAGGAATTTGCTACTCCCAATAGGACACCTTTCTGAACAGTCAAATACTGATCAAGGGCAAATTACTCTTGATTATAAAGAAGAGGACGATAATGATTCATTGATATTTGATCAAGTAGAGTACAATGTGAATGATACAGCAGATGTATCAGATCCATTGCCTACACAGGATACTGGAAGTGTGGTAGCAGATGACGCCTTGCATCCTGGTGATCAAAGTGAAGATGATGAACAGGAACATTCTGTTAGTAAAGTGTCAGAAGTTGAAAGTGGTCAGGAATCAACAATTATTGTTGATGATGATATTGAGCATTCCAATTCAGATATTAATCAGAGCTCTGAGACAAATGACATAGTTGTTAATAATCAAGAAGACATTGCTCCTACACCAGCTCCAAGGAGATCAAAGAGAACAACTACTCAGCCAAACTGGATGAAGTCTGGTGAATTTATCATGGCTCAACAGTCCAACTGGTTAGCAAAAGCTGAATTTCTTAAAGGACTAGCAATGTCTGGAATGTTTCCTTCTGCAGAAAAGGATATTGGGAGAGCACTTGTGAAAATAGTGACTGAGAATACATGAACTCTGTGAATTATTTTATCTTTGTGATTCTGATTGTACATTTTTTATTCTACTCTCTGGTATGTAAATGGTGGGGTCACCATTTCACAAGCTGGGGGAGTATGTGTTAATGTGTATTTCTCATATTTTATAATACATTTATAGAATATGCTTTATTACATTTGAATATTTGATATTTGAGTAAAATTATATTTTAAAGTTATTTGACTGATACAGTTCTCTTTTGTTTAAAAGAAATATATTTTAATCATCTACTTGACAAAGTATTGATTTTGTCTTCAGGCTATGATTGATCTTTATAGTACATGTATTGTTATATTTAACTATACATTGGAATTAGGAATTTTCCAGAGGTGTTATGGTCAAGTGAGTTGTGAGTAGTTTAAGGTGTATCTTGTTTGAGTCTTTCTATTGGTTGGATATTTCTAGATTCCTTTGTTTTGTGGTTGGATATAGTTTTCCCGCCTAAATCTATATTGTGACCAGTGGGTTCTTTGTCTTCATAATGGTTAAGACATATTTTCTATCATAGAGTTTGAGAATATTGCAGATTCTATATTCTTGTGACAGATATATACTTATAAGGTAGATATTCTTCCTTATTACCCTTTTCCCAGTTTTTACCCATTTTTGTGTGAATGAGCATGAGTGATAGATTTATGAAAAATGTGTGTCTTTTGGTACATTATGGTGTTCATTGTTAGATAATTTCAAAGTAGTATTTTTGTAATTGTGATATCCTGCAAGTATGATAATCAGACCTTTTATTTGAATAACTGATAAAGCATATTGTGTTCTGTAGCTTCAACATATACAGTCAGCTCTCGTTATCTTGAAGTCAGCCGGACCAGAGAAATATTTCAAGATACCCATAGTTCGACTCAAACAAAAACCGGAATTTTGACAGACCAAGGGACACAACTCTTGATTACCTTGGTAAAGCTAAAATAAATCCGGATGAATATGGAAAGGGGATCATTTTCTGGTCTCATATCGATGGATTTGTATGTTATGGTCTTTCATTATTATAACATTGTTTCCACTTATTTAATTATTTCTTTGAACAGTTACAATTTTTTCCTGTTGCTTTTATATGAGAGAGAAATTTCCAATCGATCTTAGCTTTATTTAAGTCATTTAAATTTGACAAAATTGTTTATTCTCGGATTCAAGAGATTTTAGAAATTTAGATTTATTTTTATTTTCTTTTATCTCAATCTTTCTTTTAAAGAAAAAATACAAAAAGATAAAAGACGCCAATTGAGTAGTTTTTATGTGATCACCAACGTAAGTCTTAATCCCCACTTTAAACACATCCAAGCTCATCAGTGTAAATCACGATTAATTTAATTATTTTTTTTGTAAACATTTTAAATAATTTTTCATAAACTTTAACAATATATCACTAATTATTTATCATGGTGATAAAAGATAATCTTAGGTAAACACTTGTGGAAATAGAATGTCATACATCAATACCTTGGTCAGTGACCGGAAATTTAATTACACGTGTATTGTCAGATTAACTCTTCAATCCATTTAAATTCCGGAGGTCATGTTTTGACATATGTGTATTATTTCGAGATAAATAATGAATTTTGAATGCTTTTGTTAACCTTGGGACCGTAAATTTAGTTTGACTCAACCGAAATTTCGATTCATCCAATTTCGACTCATCAGGAGTCGAAATACATATATTTATATGGAACAAAGTTCGGGACCACAAGAAAACTTCAACTCATCCGAAATTTCGAGTCAACCGAGTTCGAGACAACGAGAGTTAACTGTAGTTTGATGATTTTAAAGATTCAGACAGTTATAATATTTTCATTGTTCATAGAGGTAAAAACGTTATTACTTTATATTTTTCAGATATTATTTACTACTGAATAAGATTATAGTTACTGATACATATTACCAGTATACAACCTGGTCCCATAGACAGGTAATTACATGTTCTTGTATTTGTCTTGTGTCATGTCAGTTTTGAATGTATTGTTCGACTGGTTGTATTTTATGTTATTTTTCAAATACACTCTAGTTTCATAATTAAGTACCAATCGTATTAAGCAAAGATCATTTTGATAAGCTACGCGTATTTTTGTATACTTGATTCAGTGTATTGTATTGTATTGTATTGTCTTACTAATAATGTGTATATGTCTATGTTTATTTGTGTATAACTTAATGTCTATTTATGTCTATTTATGTACTTGCAGGGTTGTTGTTTATACTGTCGTAATAAAAGTATTGACATAATCTAGTCTGCTCTACTGCCCACTGTACCCTACTACACAAGTATGATGTCAAACACTGAAAAAAATCAGTCAATTCAAGAGCTTGATGTACATTAAACATTGCTTAACTGTATTTTGCTTGAAATGGGAAAACCTATAATTTCAATATAGGCAAAATATATGAATTTCAAGTGGTTACTTTAATTTAAATTTCAGACAAAAGTACACTAATTTAACATGTCCTCTGCTTTCAAAAGATATAGACTTTAACCATGTATTCTCCTAGAGTAGCTTGACAAAATTTCTTACCATTTAAACAGTTGGATACGATAGTTCAAAATGCAACTGGTTAAACATTTTTTTATGAAAGAGTGAAACACTTGAAGTCAACTCCACAGAGAACAATAGCTATTGTATTTATACTATGGGATAGGTGAACTTGCAAAAGTTTAAATACCTTGACATAGAGGAACTGGGGAAAGGTTTCATTTCTTTTGCAATAATATTGTAATCTGTATACAGAGAAGGGTTCAGAGACATGACATCATCAATCTAAACGTTAATTTACAAGATACATATATTACATACAAACCTTCATTTGAAGTTTTTAAGATTTTCAAGATAACATCCACATCATCCATATTTTTTATTTTCTTACACACAATGTCATCATAGGATAACATTTTCCCTCTGTAAATAAACATATAATGAACAGTTAATTAGAAAATTTCTTGTGTATTATTAATTTATTAACTAGCATACTTCATTTTCACTATGCTGGATAAAAGAAATAAAATATAGTAGAATTGTGTAAAACATTTTATAAGCTGTTTTTTGTCGAGCCTGCGACTTTTGTCGCAGAAAGCTCGACATAGGGATAGTGATCCGGCGGCGGCTGCTACGGCGGCAGCGTTAGCTAACTTCTTAAAAGCTTTATATTTTACAAGGTGGAAGATCTTGATGCTTCATACTTTGTATATGGATGCCTCAAGTTACGAAGTTTCCGTCAGTCACATGTCCAATGTCCTTGACATCATTTTCATGGTTCAGTGACTACTTGAAAAAAAAGTTAAGATTTTTTGTAATGTTAAATTCTCTCTTATTATAAGTAATAAGATAACTATATTTGGTATGTGCGTACCTTGCAAGGTCCTCATGTCCGTCAGACAGTTTTCACTTGACCTCGACCTCATTTCAGGGATCAGTGAACAAGGTTAAGTTTTTGTGGTCAAGTCCATATCTCAGATACTATAAGCAATAGGTCTAGTATATTCAGTGTATGGAAGGACTGTAAGGTGTACATGTCCAACTGGCAGGTGTCATCTGACCTTGACCTCATTTTCATGGTTCAGTGGTTATAGTTAAGTTTTTGTGTTTTGGTCTGTTTTTCTTATACTGTATGCAATAGGTCTACTATATTTGGTGTATGGAATGATTGTAAGGTGTACATGTCTAGCTGGCAGGTGTCATCTGACCTTGACCTCATTTTCATGGTTCAGTGGTCAAAGTTAAGTTTTTGAGTTTTGGTCTTTTTTTCTAATACTATATGCAATAGTTCAACTATATTTGGTGTACGGAAATATTTTATGATCTATATGTCAGTCACGCAGGTTTTATTTGACCTTGGCCTCATTTTCAAGGTTCATTGCTCAGTGTTAAGTTTTTGTGTTTTGGTCTGTTTTTCTTAAACTATAAGCAATAGGTCAACTATATTTGTTGTATGGAAGAATTGTTAGCTGTACATGCCTGCCTAGCATGGTTCATCTGACCTTGACCTCATTTTCATGGTTCATTGGTCAATGTTTAGTTTACTTGGTTAATGTTAAGTTTACGTGACAGTTGTAATAAAGCTTTATATTTAGGACTATCAACATAATATCAATGATTAGTAAAGAAGGCGAGACATTTCAGCGTGTGCACTCTTGTTAAATTATAGAATCTTTAGAATGAGGTGCAGCAGTTACCAAAGATACATCAGAATTCTACATTAGAAATATGAGCAACAAGTGTTTTTGTTTTTATGTCAATTACAGTAGCAGCTAAAATATAGTAGATAGGATATTTTCCCATGTTATCTCTCTTTATGTATATTCTTTTTTTCCATGGGGTAAATTCTAAGACTGGTATAAATCAGTGTGTATTTTACTTTATTAGCTACACTGTTGTGTTTTCATGTTTATTCTAATTTGATTGATTTCATCATATAATTAGAATTTTAAGTGCATATAAGATGACAGACAATACAACAAAAGGAGTAGGAGCATTAAGGCCCGGTTTTGGCCCAAGAAAATAAAATGTTTGACAACTATTTCAAATTGGCACATAATGTTTGGAAATGCATAGGGTCATGAAATATAAATGAAAAACATAAGAATTTTTATCTGATGACGTCACAATTACGTCATGATATGTATTGTTTTCACAAAAACGATGAAAAATGCAGAATTCATGCAGTTTTCGGTCGTTATTTCCATTGTGGAAACATCGTGCGCAGCCAAGAAACAATTAAATAATTTAAGAGAAGCTTTGTTATAACTATTGACGTAATCTCAAAAAATATAAAGTTGTTTCTTGGGTGCGCAGATACTTTTCCAATCTAAAATTTACTTAAAATTTGATGAAAAACAAGGAAAATCAAGAAATTTTATAAAATATGCAAATTTTGACTTTGTTTTTGCCATGGTAACTCCTTCAATGTGAAATGTGTTTTTATTTCCTAAAAACCTTGTACCTTAGTCTAGTTTTGACAAATTTAAGAATATGTATGATAACTTTTAAATTTGCAGTTATATTTGGGCCAAATAAGGGCCTTATTGCCCCTACTCCTTTATCATTCTTTAAGGCCATGCTGAGTTTTACTTGTCCTCTGTCAGTCTGGAAATGTTAGTTAACAAAATCTTACACTGATCATATAACCATTTTTGTAAAGGTCATATGAAACTTGAAGAAAAAAAAAATGTAAATTGTTTCCATCATCCAGTTACAAAAATGTACCTATGTGACACACATCAGAACTAGACAATATTGGTAGTTTTTGAAGGTTTCTTTTAAGAGACTAAAAATGAGACATATGGTAAGTATGTTATACTAAAATCAAGTATGAATTTATTCTTAGTAATTGAAAATAATATATCATGTGAATGTCTCGATGCTGAACATTGACCAATTTATAGCATATTGATTTTCAAATTTGATGGCCCCCAAAAAAGTCTAGGCACAGATTTTCTTTTGAAATTAAAGTACATATATCTTACTTGTAGTTTTTTAATAAAATAAATATAAATTCAATTATAGATTTAGATTTTTGAGTGAACTGATTTTAGATAAATAGTGAAACATTGGTACTTTTACAGTAATGTTATGTTTGCAAGTAATACTTTCCATGATATACAGACCTAATTTGAAACACCAGCAGCATCTTTTCAGACATAACATTTGGAAACTTTGTCTTTAAACTATCAGTAACAATCTAAAACAAAAATGTAAACACTTCTACTTAGATTTGTGTAAAATTAATAATTTTAAAACATGAAGAACTGTGAACTACTGTGAACTAATGATACCCCCCCCCCCCCCCCCTTTAAGTTTTCAGTAATAGAATATATAAGTATCCGGTAAACAGGAAGTTGATGAGCGATGAATCTGAACCATAGTCACATAGTAAAGAGTGCAGACATGAAGCCATTTAAGAAATTTCAGATAGCTCTGATCTGTAGTTTCTTAGAAAATGCAACAGAAGTTTTAAGGGACAGACGAACAGTTAGGTGTAAAGCAGTATACCCCTCCTTTTGAGTGGAGGTCTCACCTGTAATTTTTTGCTTAAATCTTTCAATGATTAATTTTGCTTTTCAATATATATTAATGAGTGGCTTAAAAATGCCATTTAAATGTTCTTTGTATCTGTCATATTTTCTTCAAAAGCAAAAAAATGCATTTTACCCCTATGTTCCATTTTAGCCATTGTGGCTATGTTTCTTGACGTACAAGGAAATAAAATATAAAATTTATACTAGATACAAATTTGAAACTCATTTAGCCTAAGTTTGGCTGAAATTGATTCAGCAGTTTCAAAGGAGAAGATTTTTTAAAGTAAGCAAACTAGATGAACAAATTGTGAAAAATTGTCTTTTAAAGGCAATAACTCCTTAAGGAGTCAATTGACAATTTTGGTCATATGAAACTTATTTGTAGATCTTACTTTGCTGAACATTTTTGCTGTTTACAGTTTATCTTTATCTATAATAATATTCAAGATAATAACCGAAAACAGCAAAATTCCCTTAATATCATCAATTCAGGGGCAATAACCTAAAAATCAGATACTGGATTTGGCTGATAATTTCAGGGCAGGTAGACCTTGACCTAATGAATACTGTAACTTCTTGTCTGATTTGCATTAAATGCTTTAGTTTTTGAGATATAAGTAAACAAGAGTGCACACGCTGAAATGTCTCGCCTTCTTTACTAATCATTGATATTATGTTGATAGTCCTAAATATAAAGCTTTATTACAACTGTCACATAAACTTAACATTAACCAAGTAAACTAAACATTGACCAATGAACCATGAAAATGAGGTCAAGGTCAGATGAACCATGCTAGGCAGGCATGTACAGCTAACAATTCTTCCATACAACAAATATAGTTGACCTATTGCTTATAGTTTAAGAAAAACAGACCAAAACACAAAAACTTAACACTGAGCAATGAACCTTGAAAATGAGGTCAAGGTCAAATAAAACCTGCGTAACTGACATATAGATCATAAAATATTTCCATACACCAAATATAGTTGAACTATTGCATATAGTATTAGAAAAAAAGACCAAAACTCAAAAACTTAACTTTGACCACTGAACCATGAAAATGAGGTCAAGGTAAGATGACACCTGCCAGCTAGACATGTACACCTTACAATCATTCCATACACCAAATATAGCTGACCTATTGCATGCAGTATTAGAAAAAAAGACCAAAACTCAAAAACTTAACTTTGACCACTGAACCATGAAAATGAGGTCAAGGTCAGATGACACCTGCCAGCTAGACATGTACACCTTACAATCATTCCATACACCAAATATAGTAGACCTATTGCATACAGTATAAGAAAAACAGACCAAAACACAAAAACTTAACTATAACCACTGAACCATGAAAATGAGGTCAAGGTCAGATGACACTTGCCAGTTGGACATGTACACCTTACAGTCCTTCCATACACCGAATATACTAGACCTATTGCATACAGTATAAGAAAAACAGACCAAAACACAAAAACTTAACTATAACCACTGAACCATGAAAATGAGGTCAAGGTCAGATGACACTTGCCAGTTGGACATGTACACCTTACAGTCCTTCCATACACCGAATATACTAGACCTATTGCTTATAGTATCTGAGATATGGACTTGACCACGAAAACTTAACCTTGTTCACTGATCCATGAAATGAGGTCGAGGTCAAGTGAAAACTGTCTGACGGGCATGAGGACCTTGCAAGGTACGCACATACCAAATATAGTTATCCTATTACTTATAATATTAGGGAATTTAACATTACAAAAAATCTGAACCTTTTTTTTCAAGTAGTCACTGAACCATGAAAATGAGGTCAAGGACATTGGACATGTGACTGACGGAAACTTCGTAACATGAGGCATCCATATACAAAGTATGAAGCATCCAGGTCTTCCATCTTCTAAAATATAAAGCTTTTAAGAAGTTAGCTAACGCCGCCGCCGCCGCCGCCGCCGGATCGCTATCCCTATGTCGAGCTTTCTGCGACAAAAGTCGCAGGCTCGACAAAAACTGCATTTTACACTATGTTCAATTTTTCTAAAGTTAGAAAACATGATAAACAAATTGAGTAAAATTGTCCTTAAAGGGCAATAACTCCTTAAGGGGTAAATTGACAATTTTGGTCATATAACTTATTTGTAGATCTTACTTTGCTGAACGTTTTTGCTGTTTACAGTTTATCTCTATCTATAATAATATTCAAGATAACCAAAAACTGCAAAATTTCCTTAAAATTACCAATTTAGTGGCAACAACCCAAAAATGGATTGTTAGGATTCATTTGAAAATTTCAGGGCTGATAGAACTTGACCTCATAGTCATAAACATTTTTATCCTATGTCAGATTTGCTCTAAATGCTTTATTTTTTTAAATATAAGCCAAAAACTGCATTTTACTCCTATGTTCTATTTTTAGCCATGGTGGCCATGTTTTTTGACGAAACATAAAATAAAACACAAACTTTATTCTAGATACCCTAAGGATCATTCAGCTTAAGTTTGGTTGGAATTGGTTTAGTAGTTGTTTCAGAGGAGAAGATGTTTGAAATAGTTTACACCGGACGGTAGACAAAAGCGACGGACGATGACGACGGAGGACGCCAAGTGATGGCAAAAGCTCACATTTCCTTTGGAAAGGTGAGCTACTAAAAAATGTATCCTCTGATATTTTCATTCAGGTAATAGATATCTAAACATTCTCGTTGTTCACAGAAAGAAAAAAAATTATTAAAAACTAGCGTTCATCAACCACCTACCATAATTTAAATGACTGATTACTATTTATCTCTTAAAAAATAAATCTGTTTTTGTTGATGTTTTAACCTAGAACCTTGACATTTGTTCATAAACATCAGTAAGAATGGTAGGTGTTAGTGTCAAAATCTACGCAAGTGGCTAAATTCAGATGTTTTTATGGTTTACTGTGCTGTTTAGATTTTGACCATAAACTGATCTTTGACATGACCAACAAACCAATTATGGTCATTCTTTTCAAAGAATAAGCTTTATTAAAGATTGGTCATGCTGATGAAGTTTTGGACTAAAACTTAAACTGGTCTAAATTAGTCTAATCAATAATTAAACAAAAATATTGAAAAATCATTCAGAATTTTTTTTTTAATTACAATGTAATTACAACAGAGGTCTTATTTGTTGACCTACTGTGGATTCATTATTATTCTTGTTATATAAATTTTTGTGGATTTTAAGTAAAACATGAAATTAAATGTTCAATGAAGTACACATTTTCTGTGATATTATATACAGAAACAAAAATGTGTCCATAGTACACCGATGCCCCACTTGCACTATCATTTTCTATATTCAGTGGACCATGAAAAAACATGAAATCAAATATATCCCCAAAATATGAGTTCTCCTCAATCCACAAAATTTGGTACCCATGAAAATAAATGAATCCACAGTTATTATTAAAGTGATGTTCATCAGACCAATACACTTAAATTTTTTTCCCACATTGCCTTATATTCATTATGTACATTACACATCCCCGAAAGTACAGAGAATACAAATTTCTTATTCCCTCTGATATTAAAAACCCTACAAATACATTCCAGTTAACTATTTACCTCTGATAAATCACTTATTGTTCCTGTTGTTTTGTCCCACTTTATAACAAGTGTAATTTCTGGATCTTCACTGTGCACATAAAACTTCATATCTGAAAATATATACAAAATAATATGACAAATGAACCCTTGTATTTAGGAACTAGCTTGTTTTACCAAGAAGTTGCCGAAATGCATATATATTATTTCATTAATGTATCTTAACAATATTGAAGAAAATGTGGGAAAAAAGGAATTATCCAGATAATGAAGACTCAAGTCTTGGGGAAAAATTAACTGTCGTTCAGATGATTTTGTTGTGTCAAGAAAACATAACATAGTTAATTTTTCCACCAAATTGCACCAACAAAGTGTTGCCCGATTGGTCTGAAAATTTCAGGTCAGATAGATCTTGACCTAATGAACAATTTTATTCTGTCAGATTTGCTCTAAATGCTTTGGTTTCAGAGATATGAGCCAAAAACTGCATTTTACCCTATGTACTATTTTTTAGCAATGTCGGCCATCTTGGTTCGCGGGCGGGGTCATCGGACACATTTTTTAAACTAGATACCCTAATGATGATTATGGACAAGTTTTTTTAAATTTGTCTAAAGTAGTTTCAGAGGAGAAGATTTTTGTAAAAGATACAAAAATTTACAAAAAATGGGTAAAAATTGACTATAAAGGGCAATAACTCCTTAAGGGGTCAACTGACCATTTTGGTCAAGTTGACTTATTTGTAGATCTTACTTTGCTGAACATTATTGCTTTTTACAGTTTATCTCTATCTATAATAATATTCAAGATAATAACCAAAAACGGCAAAATTTCCTTAAAATTACCAATTCAGGGGCAGCAACCCAACAACGGGTTGTCAGATTCATCTGAAAATTTCAGGGCAGATAGATCTTGACCTGATAAACAATTTTACCCCCGTGTCAGATTTGCTCTAAATGCTTTGGTTTCAGAGATATAAGCCAAAATCTACATTTTACCCCAATGTTTTATTTTTAGCCATGGCGGCCTTCTTGTTTGGTTGGCCGGGTCACCGGACACATTTTTTTAAACTTGATACCCCACTGATGATTGTGGCCAAGTTTGGTCAAATTTTTTTTGACGATTTTTTCAATGAACATTAATTTGTTGATCTAATTTTGCTGAACATTTTTACTATTGAAAAATTTTCTCTTTTTACCAGAGTACCTGCAAAAATGCACAACAGGGAAAAAAGTCAATAACTCCTATAGGGGTCAATTAAAGATTTCTGCTATAACTTATTTTTAGATCTTATTGTTCTGATATTACTCTTAAAAATTTCTCTCTAGCTATGAAATAAGAAAACTTTGAAATTTAACTAAAGATTGTCATTTCAGGGGAAATAACTCCAAATTGGTTTGTCTTATTATTTTTTTTAAATTACAAAGACTTTAGGAGATAGACTTTGACCTGCTCATTATTTTTTATCAATATCAGTTTTGCTTTAATTGTACTAGTTTTTGAGATATTAATAACAAAAAAAAAGCTGTGCATTTCAAAAATTGACACTGGTAAAAAGAAATTGAGACAAAAAACAATGATGATGGATGCAGATGACCAAGTTAGCTAAAATGGGGAGGGTTGACATCTCAAAAAAAATGGTTTTACTCTGTCCCATTTTCGTGAGCCTGTCCAATACTATTTGTAGAAATGTGAGTTATGATGGCAAAACCTGAACATTTCTGTTAAATTTATTCACAATCACAACCTTTAAAGACTACACCATTTCAAATTTGACATGTTGTATAAACACTTTATCATTAAAATGTTTTTTTCTCAAAAATGTCTTTAAAAACCTAACTGTAGCTTCATAATATATGTGCAGTGGAAAAACCAATGACATGAAAACAATACAAAAGTAACTCTTGTTATGAAAAAGTAAAAATATCATTAAAATGGTTTTTTCTCTCAAAACCTTTCGACTCCTCCCTACAAATGTCTTTAAACACATTACTGTAGCTTCATAATATATGTACAGTGTAAAAACCAATGACGTGAGAACAATACCTTTGAAGTCACATTGTTTAGATGCAACAGTTTCGCAAACTTTTTCATTTAAGACATATTTAAGCCAAAATATTTACTAAAATGGAATTTATTTTAATATGTGGCATTAGAATGAAGATAACAGTATTGTATTCTAAGCTTGGCACTCTTAAAACTTGATTTTCATGTCGCAAATATCCATTTACCTGGCTCCGCTACGCGTAGCTAGGTAAACTCAATTGTTAACAGTAAAATCTACGTTTTACGAAAGCCAAAGCTTAAAATAAAATACAGTTATCTCCTAATTATATTGTAGTTTTGTGTTTATTCTTATCTATTTTTATTATTACTATGTATCAGAACGTTTTCTTATATAAATAATATTTCTGATTTATAATCAATAGTGTCCATGCGAAAAACGTCCAAACATTTTAGAGATCCAGTTTAAGTGCTTGCAAGGAAAGTAATTCTTTGTCACCAGATTACCCACTGTGTGGGATACCAATTTTGGTGGATTTCATGCTACATGTAAACCATTAAATGTTCAACAAAGTGCAAATTTTCTATAGACTTGTCGGCAGACAAAGTTAATTTTTTCCTCAATCAACAAAAATTCAAAATTGTGAAAATAAATATCCAAAGTACACTCTTTTTGGTCTACATTACTATATACATCTATGACAAAAGGTGATTCTAATTTTGAATTGCTGTAAAATTTGCTTCGCCTTCAATATCTACCATAAGCATGATGACTATACTAGAATGTAAACAAATCAATGGAGACTGATTAAGAGTTTTTTTTAAAGGCCAGAAATGTTTAAGGCATTCGTACTTGCCAACTTTTGAAAATTCAAATGGGGGTTTTAGTGTGCTTTTAGGGGTTACAATTTTTGCTGTGTTTTTTGTGTATGCATTATTTTAAGAAATAGTGTCATATGTCTTTCCTTTTCGTATTGTATACTGATGTTGAGCTAATAAGCCCTTTTCTTCTTCTTATTTGCATGATTCTTGTTATTTCATTACTGTGTAGAAAAGATAGTACATGCATAGCAAGAATAACAGTAAAATATTTTCTTTTGTAGGAATTGTGACTGTTGACTTTTCCAATTTATAAATATGGACAAAGAAGGACATTTATCTGTTATCTGGTGAAAAATTAAAAGACAGTACTTTAAATTAATTGATCATTTAATAACAAGAATGACAACACTGTAGGATCTGTTACAATAATTGTAATGTCCTTAAGCCACAAGTTAAAATGTAAAGTAAAGTAATCTTTATTTAAAGTCGGGTTTTAATATATATATACGAATTAACATAGAATAAAATGCTTCGCTGGGGCGCAGCTTGATACGACCGCAGAGGTCGAACCCTGAACAGTTGGGGCAAGTATGGACACAACATTCAAGCTTGATACAGCTCTGAATTTGGATTGTTATTAAATATTTGACACAGCATAGGTTTCTGACACAGAAAGAATGTGGTCTAAGAACTTGAATTTTTTTAATTTACCTATTATGGTCCAATGTCCAAAATCAAAATACATGGTTAGATTCAGCATATCAAAGAACCCCATATATTCAATTTTTGTTAAAATCAAACAAAGTTTAATTTTGGACCCCAACTTGGACAAACTTGAAAACTGGGCCCATAATCAAAAATCTAAACACATGTTTAGATTCAGCATATCAAAGGGCCCCAAGAATTCAATTTTTGCTAAAATCAAACTAAGTTTAATTTTGGACCCTTTGGACCTTAATGTAGACCAATTTAAAAAACGGGACTTAAAATTAAAAATCTAAATACACGGTTAGATTTGGAATATCAAAGAACCCCAATAATTCAATTTTTGATGAAATCAAACAAAGTTTAATTTTGGACCCTTTTGACCTCAATATGAACCAATTTGATAGCGGGGCCCACAAATAAAAAATCTAAATTCATGGTTAGATTCAGCATATCAAAGAACTCCATATATTCAATTTTTGTTGAAATCAAAAAAAGTTTAATTTTGGACCCCAACTTGGACCAACTTGAAAACTGGGCCCATAATCAAAAATCTAAACACATGTTTAGATTCAGCATATCAAAGAACCCTAAGAATTCAATTTTTGTTAAAATCAAACTAAGTTTAATTTTGGACCCTTTGGACCTCAATGAAGACCAATTTAAAAAACGGGACCCAAATTAAAAATCTAAAAACACGGTTAGATTTGGCATATCAAAGAACCCCAATAATTCAATTTTTGATGAAATCAAACAAAGTTTAATTTTGGACCCTTTTGACCTCAATATGAACCAATTTGATAGCGGGGCCTACAAATAAAAAATCTAAATACATGGTTAGATTCAGCATATCAAAGAACCTCATATATTCAATTTTTGTTGAAATCAAACAAAGTTTAATTTTGGACCCCAATTTGGACCAACTTGAAAACTGGGCCCATAATCAAAAATCTAAATACATGTTTAGATTCAGCATATCAAAGAACCCCATATATTCAATTTTTGTTGAAATCAAACAAAGTTTAAATACTGGACCCTATCTTGGACCAACTTGAAAACTGGGCCCATAATCAAAAATCTAAACACATGTTTAGATTCAGCAAATCAAAGAACCCCAAGAATTCAATTTTTGTCAAAATCAAACTAAGTTTAATTTTGGACCCTTTGGACCTCAATGTAGACCAATTTAAAAAACAGGACCCAAAATTAAAAACCTAAATACACGGTTAGATTTGGAATATCAAAGAACCCCAATAATTCAATTTTAGATGAAATCAAACAAAGTTTAATTTTGGACCCTTTTGACCTCAATATGAACCAATTAGATAACGGGGTCCACAAATAAAAAATCTAAATACATGGTTAGATTCAGCATATCAAAGAACCCCATATATTCAATTTTTGTTGAAATCAAACAAAGTTTAATTTTGGACCCCAATTTGGACCAACTTGAAAACTGGGCCAAAAATCAAAAATCTAAATACATGTTTAGATTCAGCATATCAAAGAACCTCATATATTCAATTTTTGCTAAAATCAAACAAAGTTTAATTTTGGACCCTTTGGACATTAATGTAGACCA